ATGCTACTGGCCTCCTCCTCCCAGAATTGGTATATCTTCCTTAGAAAACTTCATTCACAGATAATCTGGATGGATGGATAGATAGACGGATGGATGGATGGATGGATGGATGGATGGATGGAAGGAAGGAAGGAAGTAGAAAAAACTCACCAGCACCATGGGTGCCAGAAGATAGACAGACAGCAAGTGCTAGTATTTTTATTCTCAGACCTTGACTGACTTGCCTCACTTCACTTTATGGCAGTGATCCAAAAAGGGCAGAAAACTCAGGTCTCACATTTGCATACACAAGTTTGCAATTACAGTGTCTGCAGTAAACCTGGAACAGAATTGACGGCATTCAAATGTTGGCCCTAAGCCATTAAAACTCAGCTAGACAAGCTTGTGGCCCACATTATAATCACAGCACTAAGACTGAGACAGGAAGATAACTAGTGTGAAGCCAGCCTGGCAAGTACTTGACTCAAAAAGCCAAACAATGAAAAGTTAGACTAAGTCTCTACATCCTATTCTAACCAAGCAGCAATTCAAAATGATCACACCAGGCAGTTTCAAAACACATGAACTGGTGGTGAGTGTTTCACCAATTCAGAATGACTCCAGGTGCCTGCCCAGGTCATGATGAATTGAAGTCACTCCAACTTCTTCTCCCAAAAAAGGAACTTGATAGACAGGTAGCAGTGGCACACACCTTAGATTCCAGCACTTGGGAGGCAGAGGCAGGCTTCTGTGAGTTGGAGACAGCATGGTCTACAGAGTGAGTTCTAGAACAGCCAAGGATACAGAGAAACCCTGTCTCAAAAAACAAAAACAAAAAAAGGAACTTAAAAACCAAAGCACATATGTGTTCTACATTATGAAGACTAGCAGAGCCAGCATCATTTATCACTAATATAAGGACATCTAACCTTTAACAGTATGCTTTCCACATTCAAAGTGCTAGGCAAAGCAGACAGCATAAACTTCCAATCTACTACCAGCAGATCGGTTATTTTTCTCTAAGTAACAAACTGTACCACTTGAATGAATCAAAAAGTTTTTAAACACCAATACTGATTTAGAAATCATGGAAGACATAACAAATCTAAGACACTTGTCCCTGCAACCTGACCAAGTATAAGACATCAACAAAAGCCCTGAAGAAAACAATTCAGAGAGAAAGGAAAGTGCTCTTGGACCTAGAACAAACTAAAATCCATTTCAGCTCGAAAACTGGGAATCACAGCAAGTAAATCATCCAGAGAAGCACTCAACAGAGAGCTGCTGCTTACTGTGCCATTATCACATTACACGGACTTGCAAGCTGTACTCATTGACTCCTTAGCTTGAAGGGCTCTCCAGACTTCAATTGGAAAAACAGTGCATGTGGCAGGAGAAAGAAACAATGAAAAGAACTAAGCAAGGAGGGAGTCTGGCATTTTATCTTGGATACTTTTCCCATAGTCAATTCTGTTCCCAAGATCTCCTTCTGGGCATGGCTCCTCCTCACATATCATTTCACTTTAATTTATGAAATTGATCAAAGTTCACACTAAAAGAAAATTTATTTTAGTTATTCCCTGCCCACTAGAGGGCTCCAAAAATATTTCTTTTTTGAACAGAAGAAATAAAACAAGCATTATAATTAAAATATTCTTTTAAACACACGAAATACACTACAAAATTGTCGTGATATCTTTTGTCTCCAGACTACAATCTGTTGATCAGTAACTGTTTATTAACCTAAGAAGCAGTTAGATAACAGCCTGAGTCTGCTGTCCTCATACAATCTATTTCGTAGATAGTTTCTCTCTCTTTCTGTTTTTGAGACAGGGTCTCACTATGTAGCCTTCGCTGAACTAAAACTTACTATGTAAACCAGACTGGCCTCGAACTCACAGAATCTGCCTGTCTCCACCTCCAGAGAGCTGGATTAAAGGCATGGGCCACCACACCCAGCTCATGGGTGATTTGCAGATAGTTTTTAATGTAATAGATGTCATAAAGTCATGAAGTGCAATTCTAGCTCAAAGTCCTAAGTGGTCTCCCAATCGAAGAGTCGTTTTTATGAACGCACACACACACACACACACACACACACACACACACACACACACACACACAAACACACACTGAGACCTTTCCCAGTTCCAAGTGAGGACTAATGCCAAGAAAGACCACAAACTGTCAACTCAGTTTTTAAAAACATAAAAGGAATTACTATTTAAATATGATGTATTATAATGAAATTCCACTCCAATATTTTCAGCTTTCCCTCCCCCCCACATCCAGGTTGCTACACTGAGATATTAGTAAATGTACTTCCAACTCTATCATTATTAACAAGGAAAGAAAACCATCATCTCCTGTAAATACATTTATGTTTCTAGAATGCATGCGCACGCACATCTCGTGTGTGTGTGTGTGTGTGTGTGTGTGTGTGTGTGTGTGTACTGCAAAATGGTAATAAGAAGGCTACTTCCAAATTATTTACATAAGGTGTAACTGAATGCACTCATTACAGAAGTACTTCTAAATTTGGATTATAAAAATGTTTTTATAGTAAAACAAAACATACTAAATGCTTAAAAGTAATTTTTAAACTCGAATTCTATTTGCAAATGAGTCACAATGATAGTCATAGGAAGACTTTACCCAAATATCAATTGATTTAGCAAGTATCATCTGTCTGGAAGGAATTATGGCAAATGAAACAGAGAAGGGCTCTCACACCAGTGCTCCACCCCACCTCCTGGGCAGGTGCCCTAGGGCTGACAAGCACCACTGAGATGTAAAGGACAGAAGAACATCTGTTTCTGACCAGAACAGAGGAGCTGTCAACACTCAAAGGTTCACATTACAGCACCTAACAGAAAGATGATTCGACACTTGCAAGTTCAAGTTTAGAGCTCTGTGACAGCTAGTATCCTAATCAATTTAGAGTCAGGCTGCACGGACGGAAATGTTACTTTGTGGGAACATCTGTGGGAGTGAAGAGATGATTTTCAAATTAAGAAGTGGTAACTGTCCTCACTTTAAGTCACCAATGCAAACTCAAATTGTCAGTTACTGATATGAGGAGTTTAACTATGAATCATTAAATCAACAACTTCAAGACAGTATTTAATGTAATACATGTATTTTTTAAGTTGGGGAATCTAGGAACTTATCAAACAAAAGACACTTCTGAAGGAAAACTAAAATTTAAGTAATGGGAAATGGAGGTTTAAAAGATTTTCACAATCGCATACTCATTCAGATGAATACGAGACACAAAACCCACTGAGAGCTTGAAGTCTGCATGGTGTCAGGCTACCTCGGAAGAGCATCATCAGGCATTCTATGTTTATTACATAATACTGCTTTGCCCTTGCATATCACCTTTAATCAGGGATCTCAAAGCACTACTGAGTCATCAGGGCCTGAACACACAATCTCAAACACACAAGTCGTTAGAGTTTGTAAATGCAGCTATTAATAAATCTTTGCCCCTACTTCAGTCCCCCAGTCCCAACAAAGCTTCCAATCTTCAGAGACGGCAGTCCCCAAAAATCACCTCCATGTGTGACTGATGCTGTACGACCCACTTTTTCTTTATCACTAGGCCTAAAGAAAGTAGTGGCACTGCTTTAATGACACAAATCTATTTCATTACAACTTCTCTGACAGAATAAAAGGCACTCAGGTGGGTGTAGCCTGCACTGTGCTGATGATGTAAAATGGAGGCTTTACAAAGAGCAAATCTTTGCCGGAGGCTGTGAGCCCACAGATCACTCATCAAACAGGGGAAATAGCATTTGCAGTTCTGTGTAGAGACCTCTCCAGGCAACTTTGAGAATAGTGTAAAGGGAACCATGGCAGCCACTCCAGCAGGCAAGAGACCGTTTCCTCTGTGCCCATCAAGAAGGAAGGAACAACTGAAACGAGCAAGCCTTAGTTTAAAGACTCCGGAAGCGAAGGCTGTGTGCAGTGTGGCCGCCCAGGAGACAGACCCAGTGGTTCCTTTGCATTTGAATAGGGTATTAAGTGGAAAATCAAACAAACAAAATGTCTTTAAGCCAAGGTCAAAATACACAGCTTAGGGCCACTTTCTTTTAAAGATATATAAAAGAGGCCCCCAACAGAAATATTTGACATTTTAAAAATGTAATCATTAGCAAAGTTCAATTTTGGTTTTGCGCTGTAATACACATACATCCAAATGTCAACTTGACGTAAGTGGGCATGATTACATTAACTTCAATTCTTTCATAAACAGGATTATTCATCTCCCTGACTCCATAAGCATGTTTCATTGGCTTAAACAAACAAAAACCTAACATTCAATCCTGCTAAATAAATATCTGCTACCAAGAAACCTTGGAATATCTATATTTAAAATAAGGATCCCTTATGCGATCATCCTAGAAGCGAAAAACACCTAAATCGCTCGGGTAGTCCAAAGCTGTTCAGTCAGACCTTCCGAAGGGCTCGCAGCAAGACTTTTCCAAAGAGGTGCGCCTCTGTCCCTGAAACCTATCAGGCGTGCACCTGAATGATTTTGTCTGTCACTGAGCGAGATCGCCTCTTCCTGACCTAGGCATCCAGCACAGCGCCCGTCCCCGGCTCTACCCACACTGCCCCTGACTGTTTTCTCGAAGCGTTTAAATGCTAGCCTTCAGAGCCTTCTAGCAATCGGGGAGGAATTTTCTCCGCTTCCAGATGCATTTCCCTGCCTCCGGCGACTTAGAAAACAAAACCGAACCACTGACTCCCCGTGGTTTAAAAAAGGAAAGAAAAAAAAAAGGAGGAGCAGCAGCAAAACCACACCAAAAAACCAGTGCTTCCTTAAAAAAAAAGGGGGGGGGGTGCCGAAGCTCGAACTTCTCCAAAGCCAAGCGGGGTGGCTTTCACACCAGTGCCCCCCCTCCCCGTTCCCCTCGGCCCCAGAAACCTTCGTCCCGACGCCGGCGTCGTCTCCGGATTAAATCAGATTGGAAACCACAATGCAATCCGAACGTCAGAATTTATCGTTCACTTACCATATCCGCCGGGACATGACTGGACATCTTGCCTTTTGAGAGTGGGCCAGAGATTTACGCAGAAAACAAAACAAAAACCAAGAGCAGAAGTGCTGGAGTTACGGGGAATCAAACACCTTCACAGTTCTGATCGGTTCGTGGATGAGCTTTTCCCAAAACGAAAAAAAAAAAAAAAAGTAGAAGTTCCGTGGGAGCCCAGGAGGTTCTGGGGCGAGAGGCGCGAGGGGAGCCGATCGTCAGCAGCAGTGGCAGCGCCAGGACCCGCCGCGCCAGGTGGACGGAGCCGAGTGACACACGGACATGGAGCGGGGTGGGAGGGGGTTAAATGCGCTGTCCTCCTTCCCGGGCCCAGGCGGTGATTCACACGCGCTCGCGACTCAAGTCCTCATTAAAACCCCGGCGACGAAGTGTACAGATAACTATGTGGCTACACATCGAGCGCGGGGCTGAGGGCGGCCCGGGCCGCCGAGAGGCTCAGCGCGCACCGCGGGGCCGCACAGCCGGACCGCGCGCAGCCGCGCTCAAGGGCATCGACTTCGCCGGCAGCCGAGCCGAGCCGAACCGGGCCGAGCGGAGCCGAGCCGAGCGCAGCGCCGTGGGGCTCAGACCGCGGGCGCCTCAGCGCAACCGCGCAACTCCGGCTGCATCGCGTCCGGGCTCCGGCCGCCTCCGCTTCGCTGCCTTCAGCGGCGTCTTCCGGGGGCTCCTCCCTCAGCTAGGGAACAGCTCCCCCTCAGAGTCCTGACTCTCCGCCTCCTCCTCCACTTCTCAATCCCACACGCCCTGGCCGTCTCCTGTCATCGCCTCAGCCCAACATGGCGGCGGCGGTGGCGGCAGCCGGAGCCCAAGAACGGATTTGGGAATAGCGCCCCCTCCCCGCCCCCGACCGCGCTCGTTCCTTTCGTCACAACGGAGGTCTCCGAGCGTCATGGGAAATGTAGTTCGTGCGGTGGCGGGGGGGGGGCGCAAGGGCGTCCTCTCTCGCAGAATGCCACGCCCCTGCGTAGCAACAGTTGCTAGGAAAGGATAGCTCCCTTGTAGTTTAGCCACTCTACCCTGGAGTTAGGCCCTACCAGAGAGTGCCCTGAAATGCTATGATCATGCGGATTGTTGGAGGAAAATAACTTGCACGGAGAGATTCCTTTGCGCACGACGTAGACACAGTTAAAACAGGACACACCTTGGTGCAGGAGCATGCGTTTTAATTATTGCAAATTCTTCACATCCTGCAGTCTCAAACCATTTTATTGAGTGAGTTAATCTTTAGGTCTCTTCAACATGACAGTTTGAAGATCTGAGGAAATCATTGATTTCCAATAAGGCCGTGGAAGTTCAACAGAAACAAGGCTCTCGTGAAAGCAAGAGGCAGTGTTTGAACACATTTCCTGAAGACTGAGTGCCTTAAAACTACAATCTACTTAATCGAAATGACCAGAAATGATATTGGGCACAATTGTGCTATCATGCCAGATCTGTGGCAGAGGCTACACGTGGGCTCACCCACTTGCCAGTCTAGCCCCTGTTTGACCCGGTGATGTAATTGCCTTATGAGTTTAAAACAGCTTAATATGATGCTGGTGTCAGATTTAGGTGAAAAATATGTCTACCACGGATACAGCCTTAAAGTACAGAAAGCACAGGTATCCTGTTGGTCCTTATTAATGTCTCAGGCCTTTTGGAACGGCAAATCAACATGACACCACCTCTCCCGCCTACAGCTGTGTGACCTCACTTGAGAAGCAGCCTTGTCTACCTTCCAGGGCTAAAGTCTGAGTGCTGTTGAAGATGCACGCATGCGTGGCACATAAGTCATTTTGTAAATAACTGCACATCTCTCTCTCTCTCTCTCTCTCTCTCTCTCTCTCTCTCTCTCTCTCTCTCTCTCTCTCTCTCTCAGCAGACAAATGTACCAAGCACTCTTCCGCCACTGAGAGTTCAAACATGAGCTGTGCAGCCCCTATCTGTAGGGAGCGTCGTCTAGGAGCCTGTGTCATCTCCCCAGTCAGGTTTTTCCTCATCGGATGGGAACTCACAGGACACTGAAGAGTACCTACTTGTCACTTGAGTGGCCTGGCTGAAGAAATTCCATGCACTCCTAGGGGCCTGTATCACAGGAATACAGACCCAGTGAGGCTTCCATACTCGCGCTATTTCAGGATCTGTGGGTCCCATGACTTGCCACAGCCTCTATTAATGTGGTTTCTCTTTCTCTGTGTTTAATAACTGTAGGACCCTCCTCTGCCGTCAACCCTCCTAGAAATCAGGACAATTGCAAATCTTCAGTCCATCAACAGATTCTGAAGAAATACTGGATTACCACTTAAAGACACTCACCAATGTTATTTCTCCATGCCACACCTACACTCCCCCCCCCCTCCAGTAGTTTCCCTGACCATAGCTCTGCAAGACCTAATGCTATTGAAAGGCAAGATGCAGAAGGTGGCAGGGCCAAGCAAAGCTGTCCACATGCCTCATTCCCAGGGATGTAATGACTCCTACTTAAGCCCAAGACTTTGGCATTTCTGCTATAGGATGCTGTTTGCTCTGGCCCCTTTTATATAAGGCCACATCCTTCAAAAGTGAACTCACTGAGCTTGGTTGCATTTCTAATTACTCAAATAAGACAGGCTGAGATATTATTATCAACAAAAACGCATTGGACCCTTTCTCAGACATAACCAAGGCATGAAGGAGCATTTCAGAAGACATACAGATTTTTTTTTCCTGCTGTGCTGTCTTTCTAGAGAGTGAAGGGAGAGCCTGCAGAGAGGAGCCTGACTGTCCACAGCAGGGAAGAGTAGCATCTCTGTGTGCTGAGAATCTATTGTCAGCACCACTCAGGAGGAAGTGAATGACACAGCATTTTTGATATGGAAAAACCAACTTCACAAGAAATCAAAGAGCTAACTCTGCCACAAACGAGTTGTGTGCTCTTAGCTGATCTGCTATGCCTCTCCAAACCTCTTCCGGTGGGAGCCTCATCTAAATCTCCAAGGGCCCTTCTAAGAATCTGTGATGACACCTTGGTCTGTCAAAAATAGCTTCCTCAAATTCGTAGAGATCAAAGGGTTTCCTGGAGGGGCAGGGAGATGAAGAAAATGTTAGAAATAGTCACAGCTGGGTGTGGGGATAGAAGCTGTAATCCCAGCACTTCAGAGGCCGAGGCAAGAGGATTGCTGTGAGTTTGAGGCCAAACTGAGCTGCATATTAATACCAGGACAATCTGGGTTACATACCTAGACCCTGTCTCAAACAAAACAGAACAAAATTGGCAAAACTGTGAACATTCTGGAAACTACTGAAGGAGGTGTGTGTGTATGAGAGAGAGAGAGAGAGAGAGAGAGAGAGAGAGAGAGAGAGAGAGAGAGAGAGAGAGAGAGAGAGAGAGAACCTTCTGCATATGGCTGCCCTTGAAGACCATTCAAGGATATCAGATCCCCTAAAAATGGAGTTACAGACAATTGTGAGGCACCCTATGTGGGTGCCTGGAACTGAGTCTGGGTCCTCTGCAAGAGCAACCAGTGTTCTTAACCACTGAGACATCTCTCTAGCCCTAAAAGGTTTTTTGTTTTGGCTTATTTTTGTGTTGGTTTGGAACAGGGTTTCTTTGTAACTCTGGCTGTCCTGGAACTTGCTCTGTAGACTAGGCTGGCTCTGAAGTTAGTTTTTAATAGCAGCGAAGAGCAAAATACATCTAAATAAAATGGACCATCATAACAGTTTAGTTGTATATTTCTGTGACATTCAGTACATTCATTTGTGGAAGAGTCCCCCTCACCACCACTCTACTGATTAAGCAACAGCCCCCTCCCCGCTACTTTCTGTTTAGACAGTTGTTGTCAACTCTATTCAGTACCTCATGTGAAGGGAAAGAGCATTTGTGTGTTTGTGAATGACCTCCTTCCTTTGGCATAATATCTTCAAGGTTCATCCAAGTTTAGCTTATAAAAAAATGCTCTCCATTTTAAAGGGTAAGTTACATTCCATTGTATGCATATATATCGACCGATAAACCTTCTCACTATTGAGAACTGGCTGGATCTAACAATGTATTAAATCATATCTCAATAAAACAGTTTGCACAAAATCAGCCCCGGTTGCATGTAAAGGGTCTAAAGCAATTCAAATCTCAGAGCTATTCTTTGTTTTCTCAAGTAAACTGGATGAAAGTGAGGCCTGGAGAGTAGGGTGGAGAATGAAGTCTGGAAGGCCTTGCAAGCAGGCGACAAAATTAGCATAGGAGAAAAACCTGCCAGCCAAGGTAGACTAGACACAGCAGGAGCCACTGGTATAGTCACAGAGACACTTCAGGTGTCTGAAGGTGACCCGTGGCTCATGATACACTAAGCTGCACACCCCTGGGTGGAGATTTAAGATCACTGACCAGACATGTGATACATGAAGCAATATGCAGAGCTGGGTAAACTAACTTGCACAGAAAGCCTGTGCTATGCAAATGGTCCCCCCAAGCCTTTGCTATGTGACATAAAAGCTCTAGTCCATTGTGCAGTGCAGCTGCTGTGTTTCTAAATGTCTCTGCTCTGTCCTGCCTCATCCTTTGCAATGGTCCTAACAATCTGCCCCCGCTTCTGCTACCATCGGTTTATCTCCCTGGTCACTTCCTTGTCCTAAGACACAAAGGCCTGGAACCCTTCTGAGCCTGCCCACCAGACCCAGATATCCACCTGGATAGAAACAATGACTTGACTTAAGCTGGGGGATGGTTCAGTCAGAAAAGCATCCTTGGGAACTGAGATAGACCACCAACATTCACATAAAAAGCCAGTACTCAAGGAACCCTAGGGTGGGGGAGGAAGACAGACAGACCCCCCTAGCCAGTCACCATAGCCAAAGGGTGGTGATCTCTGCACTCAGAGGTTCTGTCTCAAAAACTAAGGTGGGGGGATAAGGAGATGGCTTAGTCCAGAAAAGCATTACCCACAAAGCCCGAGGACCTGAGTTCAGATCCTTAGGTCCCATAGAAAAGCCAATTATAGTCATCTAAGGATTTGGTAGGAGACTCAGTGGAAGCTTGGAAGCTCACTAGCCAGCCAGCTTGGGTTATACAAAGTGGAAGAGACCATATAAAGCAGTGGTTCTCTGCCTTCTAATGTGGTGATACTTTAATACAGTTCCTCATGTTGTGGTGACCCCCAACCACAAAATTATTTTCTTCATCACTGTAATTTTGCTATCATTATGAATCATAACGCAAATATCTGTGTTTCCTGATGGCCTTCGGCAACCCCTGTAAAAGGGTCATTTGACCCCCCCCAAAAGGGTCACAACCCACAGATTGAGAACTGTTGATCTAAAACAAGGTAAGAAGATGAACAGCAGCTAGAAAACATCTGATCACCACATGAAGGCCAGGGCATTCGGGCACCAATATCACAAAAATATGCATATCCACTTACATTGTACATGCATACACACACACACACACAGAGACGTGCACACAAGTCACACACATGCACACACACACACTTTTCATATCATATACATGAACACAGACTTTCGAGTCACACATGAATATGCACAT